TTCACGAGACTCGACCTTCAAAGCACACAGCAGTGAGTTAAGGCATCTTTTTTGAAACACATAATCTATAGCTCGGCATAGAATGTGTGTGTGTGTGCGTGTGTCGTAATCCTCCCCCCCTTCCGCCGGAGTCAAATCTGGTTGTAGTTGGAAGAAGGAAAAAGGCCGAAACCTCAACTAGCTTGAGCCAAAAGTCCACTGGGGGGAGTTGAGTGCCTGGCCGGGAACTGCCGGCAAACAGATTCTGACAGTCATGTGGCGAAACGCCGCAGTCGGGACAGCAGTCGGGTATGGACGGGTCGAGCCGGTGTTGGTACTGGCAGAGGAGCATTGAGTAGCCACTGCGTAGTTGAGTCAAGGTACATCGAGGAATCCTCGGGAGTTGTTGTTCCGAGACCGCAATCAGAGGTGGATGGCCGCCCAAAAGCATCGTAGGATGGTAGCTTAGCTTTGCTTCGATATAGAGTTGTTTAGCCTGGTCCATAATACGGTGCACTACGCATGTCACAAACTCACTGCCCATTCCACGTTTTTATAATTGAAATCTCACAATACACCTAATTCCCTGTCGCATAAACTGTCAGCCCAAATTCTGAAATGTGTATTTGATTCGAAAATTGTAATCAAGTGTAATTATAATTATACTAACCGTACAGCCTAGTCTCAATATATTTCAGTCACGGCAGGATGCCGGCTTTTAAACCAGCTTCTTTCTAATCGCCTACGACAATTATATTCTGTAAAAAATGGCTACTTAAGCAGTATCTCTTTTTCTCATTGATCTTCACTGCTGATATGGATTCAGGTATAGGTATGACTGTTCTAGAGGTCTTATTTGCCTTTGACTTATAATCATAAACTGCTTTTACTTTTTCAGTAGCCCGATGTTACCCTTTTTCGTTAAATTTCGCCAATTTAAGGTTGAATTTCCATCAATAAGCATCAGTTGTCTGAGCAACAGGAGTTTATTTTGATGGAGTTGACTATATTAAGCTTATTAAAACAATTACAAGTAGCTTTGAATTAATATTATTTGATTACTTTCAACACAATCAAATATTCATTTATACTCGTTACCTAAGAATTAAATGTTTAACCACCAATTCCGCAAAACAATGGGGCGGAGGAAAATTGATATTTAGGCGGCCCTACCAGACAGTTTTGCCCAAATGTAGTTCATGGAAAAAATGTACAAACATTTTCTTTCTTGTACTCGTTTGGCAACAACTTACGCCTTCTCCAAATGTCATGTTTAAAAAGGGTCGTTTTCGGTTTCGAAAATGTTTATAATGATGATATTTTCCATAACCGTGAAATCTGCATTTATAAAGCAATCGTGTCTGTCCATTTTTAATGCTGCTTATAAATTATACAACTTGATCAACATCCATTGCAAAATTATACAAGAGTTCTGTGATTTCTTCCTCACACTAGAGAGAAATGTTTACTTTTGCGTAGACGGCACGGATAACACACGTAGTTTCGAGACCTTGCATTCAAGTGCAGCGGCCAGTAGGGCTCAACATTATTTAGCAATTTAGAATTATTTTCTTAAATCGAAAGCCACCCTTTCTTCAAATATAAACTTCTAAGAAGGCGGAAATTGCTACCAAACCGGCAAAACAATTTTGTGACGTTTTCTATAAAATGTATTTGAATTTTCTGCGAAAATTCCCATTTTAAGATTGAAAAGTCATATTGGCAAACAATTGTTTTTAGTCATTCAGCAACAGGCCGGTAAAGTGACATGGAGAATAAAAATGGTCAGTTAATTGCAGCGTTTGTATGATCGTCAGGTTGGGATGTGGGGAGGGAGGGGGTTGCTGGGTGGGTGTAAGCATCTGGGTTTTCCCTCGTCTCCTGAATGCGGACGCCAGCGCGTGTATGACGTTGGTTGCGATGCCCAGAGAAGAGGGAGGATGTTCTCACGGTCAGCGGGTTGAGGTCTGTATGTCAGCCGCGCAGCGTGCGCTTGACTATTCTCTGTGGCTTCGTTTTGTTTGTTTTCGGACGACGTTGCTTCGGGAGGCGTGGAATTTCCGCGTGCAGTCGGCAAAGGGAAGGAGATTGCTTGTACCAGCGCTTTTTGACAGCATAGAGTGGGTTTTGCTAACCGGATTGCCACTGCCTCTGCTGTGGCTAACACCCGTTTGCGTTTGAATTTACAAAGGCACTGAAAATAATGCAAGCTACTTATGTGACTACTGTTTGCAGAGTAAACGTTTTGCAGGCAGTCAAAAAGACGCTCGTTCAAAAGCGGGCAACCTAACGGGACTAAAATATCTTGAGATTAAGCTATGCAATACTTAATGCTACAACTCAACCTAAATTATCTGTTCGAATTGACAACACATTTCAATTTTTCGGTTGAGGAGTGGCTTGCAGTAGGCACACGTCTATCCAAAAAGCATTTAATTCATCTGAAGATCTCACTGCTGTCAGCACGTGATTAAAGGGCAGTAAACGCTTCGATGTGTAATCACCCGGAAAGATCACTAAATTGATGCTTTTTCCACTTCTCAGGCCCACGAAGCTATTGAGCTTGCCTGTCTGCACGCACTCGTCCAACTCCTCTGCCATCGACGTCTCGGTGTGACGAACGGCTTCCCCGGCCTCGATGCCACGCAGACTGTCCGGGCGGTACAAGCGCTTTGGCCATCAATTTTCCACGATTCCTCCTTGGTGGCAACCAACGCCAAAC